ACTTTTTTCCTAAGTGGTTGCACCAACTGACTCTTGTAATGTACAAGTCACCATTACTTTGCAGCTTCATGACAGATGGTACTGGTCATCTGTGAATGTTAGTCAATCTGGTAGGTGTGCAGTTGTATTTAATTGTGGTTTTAGTTTGCATTTCCCTGACTACTAAAGAGGTTGGATAGCTATTCATTGTTTATTGTCCATCTGGATTCCTCTTTGTGAAGTGCCTATTTATCTCTTTGGCTCATTTTTTCTAAATTGGGTTGTCTGTCTTCTTTCTTAATGAATTTTATCCAAATGGATACTCAGTTGTCTCAAATGGCATTTACTGAGTGGTGTCCTGGAACTCATGAAAGTTGATTGTTCTAAAATTTCAGGAGTTTTGTGAGATTTTTAATGTTTGGGTAGCTTGAAATAAGCCACGCTGGGAGTATTTGCACTATGGATATTGACAAATGCTACAAATTAGGGCATTCCTTCCCTGTCTGTCTTCAGAGTGAGGCAACTACTACACCAATAGAAAAGACCATCTCTTCTGCACTGCCCTTTTCATCTCTGTCATAAATCTTCTTTGTATACATATGGATTTATTTCTATGCTATGTCTTCTGTATCATTCTTTTCTTTGTCTATCATCATGTCAAAACTATACTGCCTTAAAAAAAAACTATACTGCCTTATAAACTATAGCTTTATAATACATCTTGATATTGGGCAGAGCAAGTCTTCTTACCTCCTAAGAGTATCCTGCTCATTTTTGGCTCTTAATATTTAAAATTTTAGAACCAGCTAACCAAGTTTTTAAAGAAAAATCTGTTGAAATCTGTCATTTACCTTTGGCTACAGTGTTTCTTGCTTTGCAGAACTTAATTTTTATGAAATAAGGTTTATCAACCTCTTTCTTTATAGATTCTGGGAGTTATGTCATAAGATTAAAATCCAGATTAGTTTTTAAAATTCTCTAGTGCCTTATTCTATCATTTAATGCTTTCCTTAATGATTAAAATCCAAAGACTTTAATCTTTGACTCACCTGGAATTTCTATTATAATAAAATGTGGAGGTAGGTACCCAACTTTCTTTCTTTTTTCAAGATGGCCAACCTATTATCCAAGTAAGAGTTATTGAACAATCTCTATTTCCCTATTGATTTTAATTGCCACCATTATCATGAACAAAATTCCTGTAAGTATTTGGTTTTTTTTCTTGGATGGTCTCTTTTGTTTCATTATCTGTTTATAGTATCACTGTTCGATAGAAATATCCTGTTAGGCACAAATGCAAGCCAAATACAATATAAAATATCCTAGTAGCCACATCAAAAAAGCAAAAAAAAGATATGAAATTATTTTTAATAATATATTTTATTTAATCCGCTATAGCCATTGTATCACTTCAACATGAAGTCAATTTATAAAAACAAATTTACATTCTTTTTCACATATAAAGTCTTCAATATTTGGTGTGTATTCTATACTTGCAATTCTATACTAGTCTCAGTTGGGACTAGCCATATTTCAAGTGTAGCTAGCTAGCTATGTATGGCCCGTAGCTACCATACTAGACAGCTGAAGTCTATTTTAAAAAAATATTTTATTTATTTATTCATAGAGATACACAGAGAGAGGCAGAGACGTAGGCAGAGGGAGAAGCAGGCTCCCTCTAGGGAGCCTGATATGAGACTTGATTCCAGGACCCTGGGATCATGACCTGAGCCAAAGGCAGATGTTCTACCACTGAACCACCCAGGTGTCCCTGAAGTTTTCTTTGTAGCTGAGAATAGTCATGGTGATTACACCATTAACCTTTGTAAACAAGATGTTACTCACTTTTCAGAGAATAAATTGTTGATTGAGTCAATGTTAACAATTTGAACATCTGAAATAAATTTAAATTTATAAAAGTACAATACATATTGTATGCATAAGTGTGCATGTGTGTGTATATGTTTATGTATTTACTTTGGGTGCCACTGTAAGATTTCATTTTAAAAATGAGATTTAGTGCCAAAAAAACCACGTGAAAGCCACCAGCCTACATGACCTCAAAGGCCACCTAGAATGTGTAAAATGTGAGTATAAATTTCTGAAGACCCTACAGTGACCCCTGAGTAGAGATGATATCAAAAGTTACCTAAAGTATTCTTTTGTCTCACTTTTTATTCCCTTTTTTTTCTCTATACAATATGCTAATCAAAAAAAATCTAGATTACATAGATCCAGGCCAGGTGTTACACCAGTCTGTTATCAACAAGTGAGAGTACATTAAACAGTTTTTAATTGGTCTTAGGAAAAGCAAAGGTGAAATGAAAATTTAATTCTCCTGGACCTTGGTTCAAAATGCATGTTTCCATCTGCACTGTAAGGCCCAAATTTTAATTAGCTTGATTCTCACTGTTTGGCCATGCATTTGTAATCTTTGTTCACACTTTGGGAACGAAATTTTTGATGAAAGAAATTGGACAAATAATGGAAATCTTGTAAAAGCAGAACAAATTGCAATTAACAAATATGTTGCGGGATGACTGAGAGAGAAGAAAAAAAATTCCCATGCTGCAGCTGGGGAGAGAAGAAAAAAAATTCCTTTCCCTAACATGTCCCTGTCTAGCCTGCCACAGTCTGGTGCTGCACACAGAGAGAGCATTTCTGAGTGGAAAGAGTTGTAGTGCCCTGCCGACCTGAGTTCGAATCCTGCTTCTGACTCTAGTAGATCACTTAAGTCTCCTGATCCTCAATCATTTCATTATCGTATAATAATATCCTCCTTCTAGCCTCATGAGGATTGAAAGAAATGAATTATGTGAGAATGCCTGGCACGGAACGGGGGCTCAGAGAATAACCAGGAGGAGCATTTCAAAGGAAGGGTCTACAGGGCCTCTGGTTGAGCATCCGTGTTTGCCTCAGGGTGTGATGCCTCAGGGTGTTGATGCCTCAGGGAGTGATCTGGGGTCCCAGGATCAAGTCCTGCATTCAGCTCCCCACAGGGAGCATGCTTTTCCCTCTGCCTATGTCTCTTCCTCTGTGTCTCTCATGAATAAATAAAATAAAATAAAATAAAATAAAATAAAATAAAATAAAATAAAATGAAATGAAATGAAATGAAATGAAATCAAATAAAATGAAATAAAATAAAAAAGGAAGGATCTACAGCTGGAATCCTTGTGAGGTTCCCAGCTTGTTTGTTTTCTATTGAGAAGAAAGAAGTGCCCAGGGATGAGGATGAGTGTATCTGCTGCTGCTGGTGGCGGCAAGGTTCTTCTTAGAACTTACTAGGCTCTCTGGGATAGCCAATAACCAGCACCTCTCGCAAAGCAGTCCATTTAGGAATCTGATGTGCAGTCATGAAAACTCCGAGAATCTGTACTTACCCTATGTGTTTTGTGGGACAGCTTTAAGGCTATGGAGGTCAATTAGCTCAGCACAGTGCAGTAATTAGGAAATGAGTTAAGAGTTTCCCAGCCAGCAAGTAAGTCAAATAGCACACGTGGAGGGATGGTTTGGCCAAATCTACTATTGGAGGAGCTGTGGAGAAGGAGAAGAGAGAGACCTTGGCTTTGGAGTTTGTAATTTAATGCAGAGAGCACAAACGGACAAAATAAGAATATTATATTAATTGTAAGGAACCAGTGGCCATACAGGTTTTTTTTTTTTTTTTTTTTTTTTTTTTTGTCTGAGACAGTGTCAAAATCAAACGTTTGCTGAGATCCACAGACTGTGTGTCCAGGTTTGGGTTCAGAAAATACAATCCCTGTATCTCTACGTGCATCATTCAGGACTGAATCAGTTCTGTAGCCCTATCCCGCTCCCAGAATTTCCTCCCTGTTAGGAGCGTAGACTCAGGGTTTGATAGATTTGGGCTAATTTTCAAGTTCCCCGCTGACTCTCTTATGGTCTTGGGGAAGCACCTATCCTCTGGACACCCCAGTTTCTTCATCTTTAAAGCAATCACATCATAGGGCGGTCGCTGTGATATTTTAAGGATGGTTTAGGACAGGGCCTCAGCTAGGCCCTTAGGGTGGACACATAAGGGAGATCTATTTTCTTCCTTCAAGGTGGTGGTTCTCCACCTGGGGTGATTTTGTACCCCCTTCCCCTGCCCAAATAGGACGTTTGGGATGCCTGGAGGAAGTTTAGGCTATCACTGTTGGGGTGGGGGTGGGGGTCACGTAGGTGCTGACCACTCCACAGTGCCTAGGAGAGCCCTCTGCTCTGCCTCCATTACCTAGGATTTTGGAATTAGGAGCTGAAACAGGCTCATTAAAGGTTTTCCTCTCTCTCTCTCTCTCTCTCTCTCTCTGAAGGGAGGAAACATGACCTGATGCTTCGTGCCATTTTTACTCAGTGTCCCTCTTGGGGTGGCCTCGATGTCTTGGTCGCAGGTCCCTGCGCAAGGAGGCGTTTCCCACCAGGGGCCTCCCGGAGGAGGGTGACATCCTCGCCCGTCGCCTGCTCCGGGTTCAAGTCTCCCCGCGGCCGCTGCGGGTCCGGGCCCGCGCCCAGGGCCGCGCTCCCCCGCCCCGCGCCTCCAGCGAGGCCCCGGGGGTCGGGGTGGACCAGGGGCGGGGCTCCTGGGGGCGGACTTCGGGAGGCCGCGCGCAGCCCGGCGGAGCTCGGGGACCCCGGGGGCGCGTCGTTGGGGGGACAGTGGGGCGGGGGAGGGCAGGGAGGGCAGGCCCGCCCCCCCACCCCCCACCCCCCGGCCTCGGCCTCGGCCTCGGGCGGCAGGTCGGGGGCGCCCCGGGGTGCGAGCGCGCGGAGTCCAACCCGCTGGCCGGGCAGGGCCCGCAGCGGCGCCGCGGAGCAGGGCGCGGAGGTTAACGATTAACCGCGGAGCACCCGCCCCTGCAGCTCCGCGGAGGGGCCCGGGGGCGGGGGGCGGGGGGCGGGGGGGGGCGCGCGGCAGCCTCCCGGGGCGGGGCGGGGCGGGGCGGGGCGGGGCGGGGCGGCCCTTCCTCCCCGCGCCCTCCCCGCCTCGCGCACCCCCGCCCCCCGACTCCGCCCCCGGCCGCTCCAGGAAGTCTCCCTGAAAGCACCAGAAACTCCAAGTCACTTTTTCCAGGTGAGCGCGGGTGAGGAGGCCCCGCGGCGCGCACTGGGCGGGTCGCAGCAGCTTTGGCCTCCGCGGAGGGGCAGGAAGGGTCTGCGGACCTGGTGGCCGCCGCCTTCATGGCTTCACACCGGGGCCCCGGCAGTGACTGCTCCTCTGTCATCGATCACACCCATGTGCCCGAGTTCGAGGTGGCCACCTGGATCAAAATCACCCTCATCCTGGTGTACCTGGCCATCTTCGTGGTGGGCATTCTGGGGAATAGCGTCACCATCCGCGTCACCCAGGTGCTGCAGAAGAAAGGCTACCTGCAGAAGGAGGTGACGGACCACATGGTGAGCCTGGCTTGCTCGGACATCCTGGTCTTCCTCGTTGGCATGCCCATGGAGTTCTACAGCATCATCTGGAACCCCCTGACCACGCCCAGCTATGCCCTGTCCTGTAAGATCCACACTTTCCTCTTTGAGGCCTGCAGCTACGCCACCCTGCTGCACGTGCTGACGCTCAGCTTCGAGCGCTATGTGGCCATCTGCCACCCCTTCAGGTATAAGGCCCTGTCGGGGCCCTGCCAGGTGAAGCTGCTGATCGCCTTTGTCTGGGTCACCTCCACCCTGGTGGCGTTGCCCTTGCTTTTCGCCATGGGAGTCGAGTACCCACTGGTGCACGTGCCCAACCACGCGGGTCTCTCCTGCAACCGCACCCGCACCCGGCACCACGAGCGCCCCGAGACCTCCAACATGTCCATCTGTACCAACCTCTCCAGCCGCTGGACTGTCTTCCAGTCCAGCATCTTCAGCGCCTTCATCATCTACCTCTTGGTCCTGGTCTCCGTGGCCTTCATGTGCTGGAACATGATGCAGGTGCTCATGAGGAGCAACCAGGGCACGCTGGCCAGGAAGGGGCAGCCACAGCAGCTGAAGAAGTCAGAGAGCGAGGAGAGCAGGACCTCCAGGAGGCAGATCATTATCTTCCTGAGTGAGTCCTGGGGGGGGGGGGTGCGATCTCAGAGCTGGCCTCCTCCTGCCCCACCCAGAGGCTGCCTGTGCTCCCCCTAACCAGAAATCTTGCCTTCAGAGTGCACAGTCCCCTTTGTTGAGCCTGAAGAGGCATTGATCTGAACCTCTGGATGTTTCTTTCCCATGTTTTGGGAACCTGGGTTACAGTGAGAAGAGCCCTGGGCCAGGAATCCGCGTGAGCGTGTATTCCAGAAGAGCAGCTCTGGGACTCTGGCAAGCCACACAATACCTGGAGTAGAACGGAGCTAAATAGACTGAGAAACGTGAGGGTCAAATTAGGTAATGTGGGGGAGGTGAAAGTCCTCCAGCAAGGACCAAGGTCTGTGGAGATAAAAGGGAACATTCTTATCTGGCCCATCTTTTCATCTTTTCCCAGGAGCATGTTTCTCAGGCAATTCGATTTTGTTCCCATTTTTCTGCTCCTTGGAGGAGCAAGGCTGTCTGGGGCTCGCACTCCCCAGGCTGCAGCTGCCTTCCCCCAACAGTGACTTCCCAAGTCTTAAGAAACTGGAGCTCCCAGACACCACTCCCCGGGGTGCTTGCTTGGGTTTCTGCTGCGGTGGGTCAGGTCCTCACCAGAAATGGGAAGTGTGGCAGGGACTGCCCGCCTATTTGATCCAGAAACTCTGGTGTCCCGGATTCCTGGGACTTCATCGATTATCCGAAATAGTCAGTTCTGGGCGGAGAAAGCTGTTTGTTTTCCAAACTTCCGTTGTGGTGCAAGTAAAGTTGGGTCCTTCTGTGTGTCAGGGAGGAAGGAGCCCACAGTCCCCCAGGGCCCTTGCCAGTGTGGCATGGGGAAAAGGAATAAATCATGGTGCTGTTTGTTTTGGTGTGGGAAACTGGAGTAACAGGTTTCAGGGCCAGAGGGTTGATATGAAAGAAAAATTTGAAGGTGCATGAAGAGGGATGGGAAGAACCTGGTCTTGTCCCAGCGCTGCCCCTGGCTCTGCTGTGTCTGTACAGCTGACTTGACCTTTCTGCGTCTGGGTGAAATGAGAGGAGCGAGCTTGCAGTTTCTGGTTGCCTATTCTGCATCAGGGGCTGTGCTAGGTGGTTTCTATTTCCACTTCAAAGAAGAGGAATTTGAGGCTTAGAAAAGAAAAGATGTCCTTCAGGTAAGTATAGGTCCTACATTCTGACCTGGCTTCTCAGGGCCTGGAAGTGAGAGGCTCTCAGGGGCTTGTACAGGCTCATGTTCAAGGGAAAATGAAACAAAACAGGACTTGGACAAGGAAGGTGCTTACCCGGATTAGATTGGTGGTGTTGCTGCCTCCTAGGGAGGTGTAAGGAGTCTGTAGCAGGTGTCAACATCCGGGGATTTGGAAAAGGCACCCAACCCCACTGTCACCCACCTCCTGCTGCCCAGAGTATTCCAGGAAGGAGTAGATATTAGGTTGGCTTGAACATCCATTGAAAGGCTAGTTCTCTCTTCCCCCATATACCCTTAGGCATATCTGGATCTTTTAGCAGTAATTTATACTTTAGTGTAAATGAATCCCCCCCCCCCTTTTCGAGCACAACACACTCTCTCTCACTCTAATTTAGGAATGAAGATTTCACTTGACCAAGGAAAAATAATTGATATATCTTTGTTCTCTGTTGGACCAATCTCTGTGGGTTTTTTAAAAATTATTATTATTTCTCTGAATAGTGTTTTTTGTTTTGTATTTCCCCCCGGTGGGTATTATTCCAAGTGGCAGTCAATCTTCATTTTGTAGCATCAGATTGGAAAGCCACAGACTTTTACTTAGAGATGAATAGGATCTTGGGGATCATCTCATCCAGTTAGCAATTGCTTGGAATGAGTTTGTTCTCCCTGCTGCTCTCTTTCTTTCCTTCTAGTTCTCTCCTTTCTTATAACAAGTATGTATTAATCGCTCACTGCTTTCCCAGGCGTGAAGATTGTTGGCTGGCAATCAGGTGCTCAATGTATGATAATGTCTTAGGGGAATTTACCGTTTATATTTTAGCTCATTTCCTCTGCACTGGGTTTTCAAAGCAGTTCTTGCAAATGCCCCCCTCTCCCCGTGAATTTCAAAGAGCTTTTAAAAATAGGAACCTCACTAATTAACTCAAGTTAGGAAATAAATTAATGGAGTGAAGAGGAAAGAAATCATGGCCTGCCTCCATCAGATTAATACAATGCAATTTACTTGGTGGCTTTCATAAAACTTAGGCTTTGGGGCATTTTTAACCCAGAACAACTGCATCTATAAGTTGTTTACAAATCGCTGAATTTAGTATAGTGATTTAGCTCTCTTTTTAGCATTTCTGTTAACAGATGTATCAAATTAAAACAAATATTTGCTCATTTCAAACATATTTTGCATTTAATGTGAAATGTAAATGACGACATAGCACAAGATGTCTTTGGAGCTCTTGAGGCAATAAAAAAACAATTAAGGATTTTTCCCCCTTCATTGTTAAAAATGCTAACTTCTGCATAACAAGCAAAATTCATAAATCTACTCAATTGAGGGAGTCTATGTAGAAAATATTAATTTTTCTTCCTGCATCTTTTGCTGTTGTGTCTCAGTCTGATCGAGGTGCTGGGCTGGGTGAATCATGAAAAGAAACTTGAAAATCAGTGAGAGAAAAGATGCAGGGACTCTTCCTGGCTCTCAAGCAGTTTGCAGGAAAAACAATAATAATGTAAAAGTGCACATTCTGGAAAGCGTGAGTGTCTCTTGCCTCTAGTCAGTTCGGTGAGAAACCAGTACCAGGCTTGTTTCCTTTTGCAAGGTTATGGCTAATACAGCCATGGTAATACTTGCCTGATGCCCAACAGAGATTATTGGTTTGGAGAAGAGGAACTGCTGCATTTGGCTCTTTATTCCTCGAATGTTAAGGATATGCAAAATAAACTTTCCTTTCCAAAGGTTTTCCCAGACCTTCCATTATAATCATGGAGTTATTCACACTGCTTGTGGCATCTGGGTCCTCGGGCTCCCATGTTTGTATCTGTTGCACATGTGGCCTGCTGTCAAATGTCACCCACTCAAAGTGGAACTACAGAATAGGTTAAAAGAAGTATATATATATTTTTTTAAGAAGTATAATTTTAAGTAGTAACTTTAAAGAGAATAGGCAGTTGGGACTAGGTTACAGTTACCTCCTAAAGATCTGTAGGCAGTGATTGGCTTTCAACTATAGTCATATAGGAAGTTTTATAGATAATTGTGAAATTGCAAAATTAAAGAAATATCGTATAAGACTCAGAACTCTATAATAATCACACCCCTTTGCACTTTGATTTGCTCTCCTGAGTCAGGGAAAGGCCGAGTCGAATGTAGGGGCAGGAATTGCAGTGTCACCTTGGGGTGCTCATAGGAGAATATCTTGAATGTGGACATCATCGTGTGTATCTGGGTGGAAAAAAGATTAGGGGTTGCTGCTATGATGGACTCTAAAAAGGTTGATGTGTGTTTAGATGGCCAGGGAGAAGCAGAAAGGAGGAGCCAAGAATCGCATCCTCTGGGTTTCAGAACCCAGCTTTGGAGGTCAAGTCATGTCTTCTGTATGTGCAAGTCAGAAAGGACGGGGGTGATGGGGAGCAGCTGAGATGGTGACAGTGGGTCCTCTTTATCTGAAGATGGTGGGTACCTAAAAAGAACTATGAAAATTGGCTCCTTAAAATTAAGTCCCAAATTTCATGTGGAAAGAGGTTTGATTGAGACTTCATCGTGAAAAACAAAAGGAAAAATCATGAAAAGAAATTTGTCTTCTATTTTATGAAACATAGCTTATAATTAGATGTTAATTCTCATAATAATTTTTCCAGAATGAAACAAACGTGGCTTTTTTGAGGGCATAATTTTTCTGACAAAATTATGTGATCGCCTTTGTGTTCGATTTTCTCAGCAAGATGGTAAAGAGAGCTTTCTCCCAAGGGCTTCTCCGAATTCTTTGCTATTTAAATCACCCTCAGCGAAGCGCATCTCTTGGCATCATTCTTGTCAATTTTCTATTCTTTCAGGATTAACTGGTCTAATTTGGCCAGACCTTCTTTTGTCAGTGGCTTGCCATGTGATTCATGTGTTTCTCCAGCTCCCCTGTCTCTGACTTGATGAAGTTGTGCAACTTGTGTGTAGACTATACCCCCCAAATATAAGTAATTGAAAAATCAGTCCCTATACCCTAGTGTATACCAACTGATTACATGGAAACGGATGCCTTAAGATGCTTCTAAGAGGGGGGCACTTGACGAGATGAGCCCTGGGTGTTATACTATATGTTGGCAAATTGAACTCCAATAATAATAAAAAAAAATACGTATAGGAAAAAATGCTTCTAAGGTGCCAGACGGATTTTGGGTACAGTTGACCCTTGAACAACACAGGTTTGAACCTTGCAGGTCTATTTCCATGTGGATTTTTTTTCAGTAAATATGGTACAGTACTGTATGTTTTCCCTTTATGATTTTCCTAATAATGTTTCCTTTTCTGTAGCTTATTTTGTTTCAAAAATACAGTTTTTTTTTTAATCTATTCATAGAGACAGAGAGAGAGAGAGGCAGAGACACAGGCAGAGGGAGAAGCAGGCCCCATGCAAGGAGCCCGATGTGGGACTTGATCCCGGGTCCCCAGGATCACACCCCGGGCTGCATGCGGCACCAAACCGCTGCGCCACCGGGGCTGCCCAAAAATACAGAGTTTAATACATGTAACATAAAATGTGAGTTAACCAATGGTTGCTATTAGTAACCTTCTGGTTAAAAGTAGGCTATTAGTTCAGTTTTGGGGGAGTCCGAAGTTGAATGCAGATTTCTGAGTGTGTAGGAGTTGGCATCCCTAACCTCTGCATTGTTTAGGGGTCAAGTGTGGTTGCTTTTTCCTGATAAGTTTAAAAACTAGTCTTACAATCATGGTGCGATGAAATTTCTTATCAAAAGCTATTTCTTTGTCGTAAAGGCCCATCCCAGTGCGGTCTCACGGAGAGATAGTGCCAAAATTAACT